TAAAATATATTAATTTTTAAAGCATAAATAAAATTATTTTAATTATTTTTATAATATTTTATTAAAATAACATAATTTTAAATATTTTTTACTTAATTCTTTTACAATTCTAATTAATAATCACTAATCTTTAATTTTATTTAATATTTTAATTTTACATACAAAAGACAAAAATTTACAACCACAAAGTACAATACAATAATAATTTCAGCATAACCTGGATTTTAGAGCTTGTTTGGTGGGATGAAATTTCGCCTATATTTTTTAATTCTAAAGATATTTACATATTTTTACACTTTAATTAATATTATAATAAAAGAGTTGTCCGGCAATTTAAGACGTGAAATCTTAAATTCAACACCCACGTACTATTCCTCATTTTCAAAATTTTCTCAAGTTCAAAAAATATATATATTATAATAAAAGAATTAAAAGTAATATTTTTAATTTTTAATTTTTTTACCTAATTTTCAATTAATAAATTTTTTTACACAATTTAAAGTAAATTTTTTTTTTCTTAACCTTCGGTATATGAAACTCATTTAACAACTTTTTTAAAAAAAAATTTTTATGTTAATGTCTTACTAAACATATAAAAATTAATAACTTAATAAAATTTTATTATAAAACCTTTTGATGGTGTTTGGTTAGGGAATAACTTTTCTATATAAACTTTTATATTCTTTTCTCTTACAAGATTATTTATATATTTTCACACATTATTAATACTACAATAAAAGAAAGGTAAAAGTCATATTTTAAATATTTATTTTTTTAACACAATTTCTAACCATAAAGTTTTTTCCTATTTATTTTGAAAGAGTAAGTTTCTTTATAACTTTTGTTATATTGAGTTTACTTAACAATTTTTATTATATTGAGTTCATTTAATAACTTTTTTATTTGAATGCCCTATTATGATCTAGTGGTATTAGACCTTAAATTAAGGTCGTTTACATTTTTATGCGTTTAAGTTCTACGGAATCCCTCTTCTTATTTTCTCAATCAATACGTAAATAATTGCAATCTGTTAAAAAAATAAAAATAACTTTTTTATTCACTTTTCATATATAAATTTCTTGTTAAATACAATAAAATTAATAATTTAGTAAAATTTTAATAAAAATTTATTTTATAATTTAATAATTTTTTATACAAATTTTTTTTAACATTTTTCTAATAAAATCTTTTCCAATAAAGTGGCTTCATTATTCAAACATACCTTTACCAATAACCTGTTGGTTCGAGTGAAAAAAGTTCGGTTCTCTTTAAATAAAATCTCGAGTTCGAATCTTGTGAACGAAAAAACAGGTGTTAGGAGAACTTTCCCCATATAGGGTCTGATTAGGCTCGATTCCGAATTAGTTAGGATCTAATGTGATTTCTAAATACCAGAAGGTTAGTACCAAAAAAAAAAAAAAAACATACCTTCCTTTTTTTTTTTTTGTAAAATCTTTCCCGATAGAATTTGTCTCTATCCAAATACGCTCTGAAGTTCAGAACCGCCAAGTGAGAGAACGGAAAAGATTACTTAGAATAAAGATCAGAATAATGAGAATAAAAAATAAAAAAAAAATCCAGTGGGCGTTGGGAAAATCGGTTATGAGATGATGGTGATGTATCATAGAGCTGTATAAAAGGGTAATACATGGAAAGGGAACAATGTAGTGCCAAGAACGCAGGGCAGAGCAGGGCATGGCAGGCCCTTGAGGAACAAACGCAACAAGACCCAGTTCATGTTCAAGATAACAGACAAAAATCCTAACTCTAATGTCCTAGGTTTCTCCATCCCACTTTCGTCTTCTCCCTCGCTTCTGGGTAGTTAGAAAGTTTTCATCTTGACCGTACCCAGAAGTTCAAGACACCCAAGGCATGGACAAACCATAGAAATCAAGGAAAGGAAAGCAAAGTCTCATAGCCATAAACCTCTCTCTTTTCTCTCTCTCTTTCTCACGTACCAAACATTTATTGCCGGCATTCAATTCAAGCTGGCGGAATTCAAAAGTTGAAGAAAAGTGTGAACTGATCCCCCTCTTCGTTGCTCAAACGTTTCTCCAATTAAATTCAACCTTAAATTAAAACTCCATCAAAGGGTACTCACCACAAGGTAAGAAACATTCTATTTTTCCTGTCTCTTTTATGTTTCTGTATTTTCTTCATTATCATGTTATATGTTGCATTGTTTTCCTCTGAGGAAGAAATAACATTTGTTTGCCTGAGAATTTTTTTGTTATTTTTGGGAGTTGTTGATTTCTTGCTATTTTTGTGAATACCGATCTGGCCAAGCTCTGATTTGCCCGCGCATATTTCTGGCAGTGATCTTGTTATACAAGACTTTGATGGTATACGGGACTTGATTATTTCTGAAGGGAGGCCAAAACCAAACTTGCTTCACTGTTCTTATCATAAGATGCTGTTTGAGGCTTTGGTTTTGCCATCTGGAGTAGAAAGATTGATACGAAAAAGGTGTTTCCAGGTTTGATTTTAGAAGAATTTGATTTCCGTAAGCTGATTTTCATAGAGAGTTAGGATTATTGGGATGCAAGGAGTGGCAAAGGTGATGGAGGAGAGTAAGGACCTTGGTCAGACTGTTAGAACAGGCATACTGAGGACGTTGCCACTGAGGGTCCTCCAATTTCTCTTGTTGTTTTTTATTCTGTGTCTGGGGTTTGCAATCATTAGTATGAATACATTCCGGTTTTTTTCTGTCCAACCAATAGCTCCTGTAGCACCATCCATCTTTGTAACTTGTGTTGAAGAGGCTGATAGCATAGAGAGTTGGATTAGGCCTCCTTCAAACCTGATGCATACCATGAATGACACCGAGTTGTTATGGAGAGCTTCATTTGTTCCTCAAATCGCAGATTATCCTTTCGAAAGAGTTCCCAAGATTGCCTTCATGTTCTTGACAAAGGGGCCACTACCCTTAGCTCCTCTATGGGAGAGGTTTTTTGAGAGGCACGAAAGGCTCTATTCAATATACATTCACACACTGCCATCTTATTATGGTGACTACCCATCTTCATCGGTATTCCACAAGAGGCAAATACCAAGTCAGGTATTGCAATCCCTTTCATTTCTTTTATTGTTAGTGGAAGAATGGCTTTCTGTTTTCAATTTTCGAGTGAGCAATATATCATTTAATTTCCTTATGATTTTAAGAGTCTTGAATGTGTATCCGGTTTATTTGGCAATTTGAAGTCTTTTTCTATAAAAAATCTCTCTTTCTATGCCTGAGTTTTTATTTTTTTGATTGCCTTAATGTTATTAATAAGATGGAAGAATATAGAACTGAAAAATCAAAATAGATGTTTTCTTATTTATATATTTGTTGTAGCATTGTGGATTTCCGCTGTCAATTTATGTAGTTAAAATTAGAAGTTACTGCTTGTTAAGATGTTGTCTTCCATTTTGGAATTGGGAAATGATTTTTGTATAATCTTTTTGTTTCATCTTTTTATATAACTTGACGTGTCATGAATTCATATAAGACTCGTGATATTGAATGCATCTACTCATTTAATTACATGTGAAAGTTGTATAAAAAAGTAGGACAAAAAAATTGTTTTTATAGCACTATCCTTTGAAATTTCATTAGATTGGTTAAATTTCCAAATTGTTAGAGTAACAAAATTGAATTTGAACCCTCCTTATCCATGTAACCGGGGAGAAATCTCTACCTCTTTTATTGGATTGGTTTGTATAATTGGGTTAACCTTGGTGAGTTACCAATCTGTGGATTTCTGTTGGTTGTTCCTTCAGATCTTAGTTGTCTAAATTACAGATAAAGGGTTAAGTTACAATCTTATAGGTAGCTTGATTTGATAGATGAATTTCATGCTTCCATGGAAGTTCTGAACAGATAGGACATTTGCAAGCGTCTGCAACCTTGCATAAGGCTCTTTGAACAGCATCATATGCCCCTAGGCATCTTGACACATGGCATGAAAAACTAGTTGCTCATTTTCTTTTTTAGAACAAATTTTGCTAAAATAATATATTGAGAAATGGCCTGTGCAAATCTGAACAGAATGATGTAGAATATAAATTTGAGGAACTCTGCGAGTTCTTTCCTATCTAGCTGTAGTTCCGGAACTGAAAATTACCAAAACCAAACCGAACTTCAAATATCTCTTTAAATAAAATCTTTGATTTTTTTTTTTTTCTGTGAAAAACATGGCATGCATCACCCTGGTCAGTCCTAGAATGCATGGTGGACATTAATTCCTCCTTAAAGTATGAAGCTCGTAAGCAAACAGAGAATCAGTGGGTATTTGAATTTCAACCCCGAGTACCCAGGAAAGAACTGAATATTTGATGGAAGACAGATATCCTTTTGAACAATCTATGAGAAAAAGAAACAATTTTTTAATTGTCTGTTAGGTCTAGACCATTTAGTTGTATCAAAATCTGATATGTGCTTCCTTGATTTGATTTTATATTGATTCATATCATTGCCATTCTTATCTTGCAGGAGGTGGAGTGGGGAAAGATAAGTATGTGTGATGCGGAAAGGAGGCTTCTGGCTAATGCACTGCTTGATATTTCCAATGAATGGTTCATCCTCCTGTCTGAGTCATGCATCCCTCTCCACAACTTCAGCACAATCTATCGCTACATATCAAGATCACAGCATAGCTTTGTGGGCTCATTTGATGATCCTGGACCCTATGGAAGAGGACGTTACGATCAAAGAATGGAACCGGAGGTAACCCTCAGCCAATGGAGAAAGGGGTCTCAGTGGTTTGAAGTTAATAGGAAACTAGCAATCAATATACTTGAGGATATCACCTATTATCCAAAGTTTAGAGACTTCTGCCAGCCAGCCTGTTATGTAGATGAGCACTACTTCCCTACAATGCTGACTATCCAAGTTCCTCAACTCTTGGCAAATCGTTCTCTTACATGGACAGACTGGTCAAGGGGTGGTGCTCACCCAGCGACATTTGGGAAGTCTGACATAAATGAAGAACTATTTAAGAAAAATTTTGAAGGTCAGTTTTGCCTTTACAATAACCAGCCCTCTTCTTGGTGTTATCTTTTTGCAAGAAAGTTTGCTCCTAGTGCCTTGGAACCTCTATTAGAATTAGCTTCCACTGTTTTGGGGTACTGACTGGGGTTACTTGCAAAGATAGTTGACATGGAGTTTTCATTACTGCTGGTGAGTTTGGTCATGAGTTAAGCTAAAGCTGTCTTTTAGGAGTATTTTGTCCCATTTTTACCCTGTTGTATCTCTCTTTATAAATATCAATATAAAAGTCATTAACGATACATGGAAAATTAGATCCTAAACTTCTGGCTTTTTTTTTTTTCTTTTTTCTTTTTTGGATTTTAGAATACACAATAAAAGACAATCTCTCACATCCCTTAATCCACCCACCCTACCTACATGCTGTATGACTTGAACTTAAAACCTCTTTTGTTGGAAACTACCTCAGGGTTATTCAGATCATTAACAACTTCTAGCTTTTCTGGTTGTATCATGTTACTCTAAGAGTAGCATTTGTTGATGCATTTTAAGCATTTTTAACTGCAATAAGAAATGGAAGGTTAACCAACAACCTGTTGATTTGAATGGAAGAAATTTGGTTTTTTTTTTAAGTAAAATCTCTAGTTCAAGTCTTTTAACGTAACTCAATTTTGGATTAATCAAAACCCAATGTGACTTTCAGATACTAAGAGTTAATAAAAAAAAAATGAAATGAAAGGTTAATGATGTTCCCCAAAACAATTGCTTAATTTTCCTGGCGGATTCATGCTTATGCATGCATGCATGATGTTTTTGAGCAATATGGTTCATCTTGTCTTAAAAATCATTCCAATAAGACTTTTCTTTGGAGCAAAAATTATTCGTTGGCAAGAGGGGGTCAAGAATCTGTTGAGGATAAAATCATTGATTCAGAAATAATGTAGCATAAACTCCAGCTATATATCGTTTATATTAACACAGAATTCAGCTTTATTCTGACAATTCGTTGAAACTAAACCAACACCTTAGCAGCTTAAAAGCAAGAACAATATCTCACTTATACTGACTGACAAATGATCCATTCAAAGTGTAGCTGTAAGGAAAAAGAAATAGTATTTCTTTTCTGGAACAAAGAGAAGAGCACTGTGGTTAAAACCTAAAAATCTGTAACCCCTAACTGCCTCACCCTCCTAAACACTGAACAGCTGAGCTAAATGTAACTTTCAATTGTGACACCAAACTTCAAGTACATGATTGATGTGTCCAGCATGAACAAGGTTATATTTACAGCTGCAGTACTAAGAGCCAACCTGGTGAGGATGGTCAAGGAGCTCCTCACAGTTCATCATGGAGGTTTTCCTCATGTAGCTTTCCTTGAAGAGGAACTTTTGGTTCTGCTTTGAGAAGATAGCTGGCGGCCAATGATGCATGAAGTGCAGCACCATATGGAAGTGCATCCTCATTGATCTCAAAGTAAGGTGAATGTACGAATTTTAGCTCTGGACGTGTCTTGTTCTGCATTCCAAGCATAAAGAAGTATCCAGGAATCACCTCTTGGTAAAATGAAAAATCCTCAGCTCCCATCAGTGGCTGCATATCAATAACTTTATGATTTCCAAGCATATCCCCTGCAACACTTTTGAAGTGCTCATGCAAATCTTTATTATTAATGGTAGGGGGGAAAAACGGCTTCTCTTTTTCAAGGAACTCTACAGTTGCACTGCACCTTTGCACAGCAGCTTGCCCTTTGATAACCTGTTAGTGAAGCCAGTTAGCTTTTGGGATGAGGATACATAGATTTAAATTGTGTGAAAAAGGAAATGCAGTTTATGGTCCTTTTGGCAACTGCTTATTTCTGTTGCTTGTGATACTAGTACCAGATAAGTAAAGGACTCGCAAGGTTATCTCGAAAACAAAACATTTACTTCTATACCTCCTCAATCCGCTGCTTAATTTGAATAAGACTTTCTTTTGAAAATGCTCGGAAGGTCCCACCAATAGTGACTGAATCTGGAATAACATTGAACGCACCACCTCCCTGAAATTTTGCTACTGTCACTACCTGCAAGTGAATATTCAATTTTAAGTAGTTGTTGGAGCAACAGGAACAACTCTCAGGAATATTTTATAGGCTGTCCCAGAAGCATGGTGAGGAGGATGCCTTGATTTAAACAAACTTAAGCTACAGAACAAGAGATCAAAACAGTAATTCAAAAAATCCAATGATTTAGCTCACACTGTCAATATTGTGATTTCTTTGTTATGCTTCATTGCAACTAGAATTTTCCACAAGAACTTAAATAAGCTTCAAGAGTGTAAAGACAAGCTTTATTACTGAGTCCTGACCTAAAATAAGCATCAAACAAATTCTAAGGCCATTTTTACTCCATTTTTCTGGAGTGTTCCTAATTATGCTTGTAAGATTTTGATTCTTTTCTCCAATAAATTTCTAGAGGTACAAATTGACAAGTTGTTATATCAAACAGTTTAATCATAATGTAGATCTATTGCTAAATTTGCTTCAGAACTCCCCACTTCCAACATGAGATCAAAAACAAATGGAAACACAAAAGAGCCATTCTAGACCAATGAATGCATTTGAGGAGTAATCCTCTTCTAAGATACGATACAAAAATGAAGAAGTTTATCTTGACTATAAAATTTCGTACTCAAGCTGATATCCACATAGAAATGGTAGCTGCATCATATTAGAAGTCATCAGAAGGATCAACAGTACAGATTGTACCTGTGAATCCAGTGGATCAGCTTCACGAGAAACGAGATGCTGTAGGCTAACAATCACGCTGGAAGCAGCCAAAATTGGATCTATTGAATGCTGAGGAAGGGCTGCATGACCTCCTTTACCACTTATAACTGCTTCAAACATGCCACTTCCAGCCAAGAAAGGGCCAGGTCTCGAGGCCACAACACCTATAGGAATGGAAGGAGCAACATGCAGTCCAAAGATAGCATCAACTTTCTCTAAAGCACCTTCATCTATCATAACCTTTGCCCCTCCACCACCTTCCTCAGCTGGTTGGAAAACAAGAACAACTGTACCCTAATGAAAATGCAAAAACTGAATACATTAGGTATCAGCCAATGTTAAAAGCTCATAAATTTTAACCAATCAGCAACAATAGTGTTCATTGCCAGAAATTTAGATAAATAAAGACATACTTTGCCTCCCTTTTCTTTAACTTACTTTTCTTTAGAACTGTCAGATAACCAATACCTCAAGAATCACAATTAGATGTTTTGCTATTGTAAGTCAAAAATCTTTATGCTATTTGTTATAGTTGAAGAATCACTAATTGACAGACTCCGAAATGGCCCAATATCAGGTATTAGTAAAAAACCCTTTCTAAAGTTACACAGACTTGACAGATTAGAATAATTTAGACACATAAATCAAGTATTAAGCATTCATCAGAGCAAATGGAATTCACTAATGTTATTATATTCAACTGATGTCGATGAGTATGATTAAGTCATTAGAAATTGAAAAGAGAAGATTGATGCAACCAACCTTTAACTCATTAATATGCTCTTTAAGTATTTTTGCAGCACCAAGAAGCATAGAAACATGGGCATCATGTCCACAAGCATGCATCTTCCCAGGATTTTTACTCTTGTGCTCCCACTCCACCATTTCCTACACAATTCAGAAACCAATAACTAATAGAACTTCAAAGGGGAAATGGTAAAAAAGAAATCACTGCTTTTAAAATCCAGCATCATTAAATTACCAGAACTTAAAAACCCAGCCCTTAGCAAGGACATCTCAACATAATTAACAAATTACTAAAGGTGAAGTTCATCATATCCAGCATTTAGCGAATGAAAGATCAAGCTCACTCTGAATTAATCCAACAGGACTGAAAATTCCAATATTCAACAAAATATTAAGACAATACTAAGTCTCGAACACATGAAAAAGGGAGAGATTCAAGAAGAAAGAAGAAAACTGTTTGGGACCTGCATAGCAAGAGCATCCATATCTGCCCTTATTGCAACAAATGGGGGTTTGCCAGTCCCAACAAAGCCGACAACACCAGTAACTGCAACTGGGTATTTATAAGGAATGCCCATTTTATCCAGTTCCTCTCTAATCAGCTTGCTGGTCTCAAATTCCTCATACCCCAATTCTGGTTTCTCATGTATCTTCCTCCTAATACCCACAATCCAATCAACAAGCTCCTGTCTTTGAGCAAAATCAAGGAACTTCGTAGGGATTTCAGGCTGCCCATTTGAGCCCAGAGAAGAAGAAGACAACCCTAGGAAAGGATTGAGCAACTGAAGAATCAGAACCAAAGATACCAAATGGGAGAAAGTCGTAGCCTTTTCCATGAAATTGACCATAGAAGACCAAAGGATGGGTTTTTAGGAAAAAGAGATGAATTTGAGGGAGAAAGTAAGTTGGGTTTTCTTCATATCCCACCTGCAACTAAATTGAACAAAAATCAAACTGAAAAAACAAAAGATTCCTGTTCCCTCAGTCTTTCTTCACCCCAAATTAACACTGTCCTTTTGGATTTGAGCATTGAAGAACGAAAATAATGAACATAAAAAGAAAAAGAAAGAGGGGCAGAAGGGGCGTTGAAACTTGAAAGTGGCATGGCATGACCTGGCACCCAGTTGTCCTTTCTGGCTGCCTTCCCTGGATGTCTCGATAAGCTTGGTACTGTACAAAAACCACCTCAAATTCTATATTCTTTTCACGTGCTTGAAATTGCTATATTATTAATTAAATTAAGTATACAAGCGCCGTGAGGCATGCAGTTTGAAGTTTCAACATTGTAACAAAACCCTGTTTGGTTGGCTAACGGCTGACGAAGGCAGTGGTTTTTCTTTCTTTTCTTTTCTTTTTCTTTTTTTTTGGTTTTTTGTTTTTGTTACCTGGGATAGCCTCTCTTTCACTTGATATATTTGGGTTGAAAGAAATTAAAAAAAAAAAAAAGAAAGATTTTTTTATTTAATTATTAAAAAATTAGAAGAGAAGAGAAGTATTTTATTTTTTTATTCTTAATTTATTTACTTATATAATTGAAAGAAAGAGAAGGGAGAAGAATGAAAAAAATACAATTTCTCTCCTCTCTATTTCTCTTACCCCAAAGATATGGATACTCTCTCTTTTTCTATCTTTTTTTTTTAGGTATGTATAGTCTCTTTTTATTTATTTTAAATTTTATATTTTACATCTCAAATTTAAAATCTCAAACTTTTAACTTTTTAAAACACTTTTAAAAACGATGACAATAGTTATTATATGATAAAACAAAACATATATATATGTTTGATATAAGTTATAGAAGATTATTATACCTTATAAATTGATCTTTTTAAGTACCTTAAATTGTTTAAGAAAAAAAAAAGATATAAACCAACAAAATTAGTTAAACCAAACATACCTAAAGTATTTTATTCTTTCGCTTTTACTCCCTTTGATTGTATTTAATGGTCTCATCTTACACTTAACACAATAATATTATCTTCAGTCATTTTTAATTGTCACATTTTATGTTGAAAAAAAATTTATCTCACTTTGTGTTGTATAATAGAAGAGAAATTTTACAAAATGATGATAAACACAATTATGAACTCTTTAAATTCCCCTTTTTCCCTTTCTTTTTAGGGTGGTGCCATGTTGGAATGGCAATAAAAACAAGCATTTAATAGGGATAAAATTGGAACAATCTTTTAAAATTTTTACCAACATAGAGAAGTCTAATAATCAAATTTGAATGTGACAATTAAAAATAGACGAAAATGATAGAGAAATTCTATTGAATACCTAAAATCTCAATAATTAATGCTTAAAATTCTATATTTATCTTTAATAAAAGCTTTTTTCCTTCATGATGAAGTTAGAGTAATACAAGTAAATTTGAAATAAGTATATTTAATGTCTCTTATAGGTAAAAAAATGTAATAAGTAAATAAAAACACTGATATATAATAATAAATGAAACAACTAAAAAGGGTGTTAAAAAATCCAAAGAATATGAAGAAATACTATGGTGGTTACCATGACCTTGGCAAAAGAATTTGGGAAAAGTTGCCCTTCGTTTGCTGTTTATTTTATTTTATTTTAACAAATGGGTTGCTCATGGGAGTCAAACCGCGGCATGAGCCAACATATGGGTACAATTTGCCAGCCCAAAAAGTCGTTCAATTCATCATGGATTTTGTAGCTTAGGATTGGTCAACTAATTCAGAGTCAACCAAGTTAATTATTATATTATTGTTACAAATTCCTTCTACATTAACAGTTAAATTACGCACATGGCCCTTGCGGCCTAGTGGTAATAACCACCTTGGTCCATTCCCCCTCTCCTGGGTTGGGTTCGAAACCTGCCCCTTGTAAATATGTTCAAAAAAAAAAAAAGTTAAATTACAACTTAATTGAATTTTTGATTTAGAATCAAAATACAAAGATTTAAATTTTGATGTAGATAATTAACTAACTTTATGAAAATATGAGTTTTTTAAACAAAGATGTGAATTTGAGAGAGAAAGTAAGTTGGGTTTTCTTCATATTCCACCTACAACTAAATTGGACAAAAATCAAACTGAGAAAACGAAAGATTTCTGTTTCCTCAGTGTTTCTTCACCCCTAATTGAAACTGTCCTTTTGGATTTGAGCATTGAAGAATGAAAATAGTGATGAATATAAAAAGAGAGAGAGAAAGAGGAGCTGAAGGGCGTTGAAACTTAAAACTGGAATGACACATCATGGCATCCAGTTGTCCTATCTGGCTGCCTTTCCTGGATGTATCGATAAGCTTGGTACTGTCCCAAAACCACCTCAAATTCTATATTCTTTTCACATGCTTGAAATTGCCACATTAAATCAAGTATACATGCGCAGCAAGGTATGCAATTTGAAGTTTCAACATTGTGACAAAACTCTGTTTGGTTGGCTGACGGCTGAGGACGGCAGTGGTTTCTTTTTTTCTTTTTTTTTTATCATGGGATAGCCTCTCTTTCTCTCAATATATTTCTGTTAAGGGCAATAAAGGGGAGGGAAGGAAAAAAAATTTTTATTTAATTATTATAAAAATTAGAGAAGAGGAGAAGAATTTATTTTATTTTATTTTTTTAATTTATTTATTTATCCAAATAAAAAAAAAAAGAATGAAAGGATATAATTTCTCTCTACTTTATTCTCCTCAACTCAACATTATCCATAATCTCTCCTTATCTCTCTCTTTTTTTTTTTTTCGTATGTACGGTCCCCTTTACCTTTTAAGATTTATATTTAAGATTGCAAATTTTAAATTTTAAATTTTAAATAATTTAAAACACTCTTAAAAACGATAACATTAGTTATCATATAATAGAATAGAACATATACATGTTTGATATAAGTTATAGAAGATTATTATACCTTACAAATTGATATTTTTAAATATTTTACATTGTTTAAGGAGAAAAAAAGACATAAACCAATAAAATTAGGAGAACCAAACATACCCAAAGTATTTTATTCTTTCTCTTTTACTCCCTTTGATTTTATTTAATTGTCTCATCTTACACTTATCACAATAATATTATCTTCATGCATTTTTAATTGTCACTTTTTATGTTTGAAAAAAAAAAAAAATTGTCTTAGTTTGTGTTGCATAATAACAGAGAAATTTTACAAAATGATGATAAACACAATTATAAACTCTTTAAATTCCCTTTTTTCCCTTTCTTTTTTAGGGTGTTGTCAAGTTGGAATGGCAATAAAAACTAGCATTTAATAGGGATAAAATCAGACAAATATTTTAAAATTTTTACCAAAACAGAGAAGTCTGATAATTAAATTTGAACACTTTTTATAGTAAATGTGACAATTTAAAAATAATAGAGAAATTCTATTGAATACCTAAAATTTCAATAATTAATGCTTAAAATTTTATATTTATTTTTAATAAAAGCCTTTCTCCTTCAAGATGAAGTTAGAGTAATACAAATAAATTTAAAATAAGAACAGTTAATATTTCGTATACGTTAAAAAAATGTAACAACTAAATAAAAACATTGATATATAATAATAAATGAAACAATTAAAAAGGGTATTAAAAAATCAAAAGATATGAAAAAAACTATAGTGGTTACCATGACCATGGCAAAAGAATTTGGGAAGAATTGCTCTTCGTTCGCTGTTTATTTTACTTTATTTTATTTTAACAAATGGAAAATTTTGGGAGAAGGGAACTCTTACAAAGCAAGAATTGCTCATGGGAGTCAGACCGTGGCATGAGCCAACATGTGGGTACAATTTGCCAGCCCAAAAAGTGCTTCAACTGATCATGGATTTTGTAGCTTAGGATTTTTTTTTTTTTTATCAGCAAAATAATTTTATTAAGAAATACAAGGAGTACTCTAACCCATTACATCATCACAAGAGTTGTTTAAGTTACACTACTCAAAATAGTCCCACATAATTTTCCTAGATGGTTTGTGCTTTTTTACATGCTTCCCTGGGGTTCTCAATCCATAGCTCCTTGGGCATTTCTTCATTTAGGTTGGCTTTCACCCAGCTTAGCGAACATAGCTTCATTAAATCCACTACAGTAGCTAGATTGTCATTTCCTTCTTTGAAAATCAATTTGTTCCTCCACAACCAAATGGACCAGATAACTGAAAACCAAATCACATACCATGCTTGCTTTAAAATTCCAATTTGTAGCATTCCAACGTGTTGTTGTAGGTGGTTCCAGCCTTCACATGCAAGAACAGTCTGCAGGCCCCACCATGTTCCGTTTACATTCACGGTTAAATTACATGAGATTTTGTAGCTTAGGATTAGTCAACAAGTCCACAGTCAACCCGGTTGTTATTATATTATTATTACAAGTTCCGTTTACATTCACGGTTAAATTACAACCTAATTGAGTTTTTGATTTCCCAAGAACAGAGGTTCAAATTTCGGCCTTGATAAGCAGCTAAACCCTCTGATGTACAAAAAAAAAAAAAAAAAGAAAAAAAAACCAACTTTTTTGAGTTTTGTCTCACCTGTTTAGTAATTTTGTAGTTCTCGTAAAAAATACACCTGTAACTTATATATATATAAAAGCATTAGATTTTTTTATTAGAAATATAATTTTATTAAAAATTATAAAGATTTAAAGACTAACATGAATAGACGTTTTGCTGTCGCTGTCGCGGCCTAATAGTTATAAGTTAAGTTGGGAAATTAGATTGTAAAATGTATCCCCCAACCTAAGGTTGGAATTCAAACCCCCTACCCTTAAATGTAAACTCATTCAAGAAAAAAAAAAAAAGACTAACTTGAATAGAGTAATATACTAGAGGTATTATATTTATAAAAATATATGAAGATACAAAATTAAATAATTTAATATCTATATAAATATCACAATCACACTCAAGTTCAAGATTTAACAATTAAGCTACATTCCATGCCTTCAACAATTAAAGTAAAAATAACAACTAATTTAAGTTCAACTAATATCTTGTTTAAATTGCCATCTTATTTCGACAAGAATGAATTTCAATAAAAATAATAATAATAATAAATGACAAAAACTCTTTAAAAAGAGAAAAAAAAAACCGCCAAAAAAAAATCCCC